CGCGTTCCCGGGCGGGGGCAGCCGCCCCCCTCCCTCCCGTGGGCAGAGGCACCTGCCAGGGGCACGGCGGAGAGTCGGGTTTCCGTGAAGGGCTTGTCGTGACCGAGAGGGTAAACACTGCCCGGAAAATAATCTGGCTGCTGATTGCCGCCAGCGCCCTGGTGCCTCGGGCCGCTCATCGGGGCGGTTTGTTTGCTGGGCCTCTCCTTTAAGTGCTTTTATCGACCTTCACCTGGATTTGCTTTCCAGCCCGTGCGAGGCTGTAGCTCACAGACCCGTCTCCTCCCCAGGGAACGTGGTGGACAGCCAGTCCCCCAGGCTGCTGGCAAACCAGCTCAGATGGGACCTGACTGCCGAACAGATAGAGAACATGGCTGCAGAGCTCACGGAGAGGACCAAGCTGGTGTACGACCGGGTGGGCTCCCAGGAGCAGGGCGAGGTGTCCTATGAAAACACTCTCAAGGCGCTGGCAGATGTGGAAGTGGAATATACGGGTACGTACCCCGAGAGGGAGTACTGCCTTTCTGGAAATCAACACGTTATTAAGATTTTTTTGGTGTTTTTTTTTTTTAATCTGTCCTGACATCTTTTTTTTTTTAATTTCCTTTGGCTCCCTCAGCCCTACGTTGGGTTTTTTTCCAGTTCATGTTTGTGCAGGTAGATGTAAATACAGAGACTAGAGTAGCTTTGGGAGGGAAGAGCGAGTCTAAAACAAAGCCGGCGCTTCGGCAGCAGAGTGCTCTGCGGGAGGAGCAGCCAGCTTTTCCCGGTTGTCTCCTGCTTTTGTGTGTCAAGGTGCGTTAGTGGGAGCCAATTGTGTGTCGGTTCGGATGATCTGAGGAATCTTCAGCTCTTTTCTAACGTTTTTCCTTAAGGCAGCAGCTCAGTGTCGCTCCGTGTGCCCTGTCTGCTCACTCCCATCGTTGTCGGGGTTGTGTGTGAAGCAGGTGACGTGGTGGCATCGGGCTGGCAAACGATGCGGGCTGCCAGAGATCTCTGGCTAATGACTTACAGCAGCAGAGTGCCAAAGTCCCGCAGCCCTCTGCCTCGTGGCATCTGCTGGCTGCCCTGACCCGCCGTGCTCCCAGGTGTCGCGCCTGTGTGAAGCAGAAGCCGGCCTGCGAGCCTCTCCTTTCTCCTCTCTGATTTCTTTTGCCCAAAATAAGAGGAAAAGCCCTGACTCAGCAGGGGTGATGTTCACTTCAGCAGAACCGTCAGCACTTTGCCTGGGCCGCAGAGAGCAGCTGCCTGCTCACCTGCTGCTGGGTGGAGAGCTCTCGTGCCTGGAGGGCAGCGCCTTCCCGCTGCAGTTGTGTCGTGGGAGGTTTTGCAGAGGTGGTGGCGGGGATTGTTCTCCCGAGAACGGGACCACGGCAGGACAGGGCACGCCTGGGATGTGGTGTGCCTGCGCTAAAGCTGTGTCCCTTTTAGCCCGGTCCTCTAAGGAGAGGAGTCCCGCAGCGGGGCTGCCCCTGTGTCTGCCAGCAAAGTCCTGTGGTTCTGGAAACTGGATACCAGCTGGAGTTGGGGCAAAGGCACTGGGATCTCACAGGGGTGGATCTGTGAGAAAGCTGGGTTGTCGGGGGGAAAAGCCAGTGGACGGATGGGCTCGGCAGCGAGGAAGGGGCGAAGGGGCGCTGCCGGTGAGCGAGGGCTGGGTTTGGCTGAGGGCACCAGCTTGCCTTGCTCTGCCTTGAGGCGGGGGCCCAGGTCAGGCCGTCAAACTGGCTCCCAGTTAACAAGCTGTCCGTGCCCACTCCCATCCTGGGATGTGAAGCCGTGGCCCTCGCCATCCTCCTCCTCCTGCCTTTCCAGTCCGCCGGAACATGCTGGACTTCCCCCAGCACGTCTCGCCCTGCAAAGCCATCCGGGCGGCGAGCACCGAGGCCGACAAGAAGCTCTCGGAGTTCGACGTGGAGATGAGCATGAGGCAGGACGTGTACCAGAGGATCGTCTGGCTCCAGGTGCGTGCTGGGGGGGCGATGCTCCGTCAGCGCCGCCCCTGAAACCTCCTGGAGTGACCACAAACCCTTTTCCCTTGTCCCCACGCTTGGAAGTGAATGATATCGAGTCAGGTCCGGAACTGAAGTGCTGTGTGATCGTGGCAGAACGGGGCAGCTGTTAGTGAGAGCTGGGGAGTTTGGGTTTGAGGGCTCTGCCCCCTTTTTCCTTGATTCCCCCTGTGCTAAGGGGGTGTTAGCGAGCCCAGCCGGCCTCCGGCGGGGAAGGGGCTGGGTAGTGCCCTGCAAAGTGCTGTAATTCGGCATTAAGGTGATGGGTTCAGAGCAGTCTGGTAGGAACTGATGCCAAAGCCGCCCCGTGGGGTGTTTCCATCTGCTTCTGGGTCACTGGTGGCGCAATAACGCACAGCTCCTGCCAGGAACCGACTTGCTGCAACACCTGATCCTGCTCTTCCCCGTGCTCCTGGGTTTTGTTTTACAGGAGAAAGCAGAGAGCGCTTCGCTGAAGCCTGAAGCAAAGAGGTACCTAGAGAGGCTGATCAAACTGGGAAAGAGGAACGGGCTCCATCTCCCTGAGGAAACGCAGGAGGTGAGATCCCAGGGCTGAAAGTAAGAGGGCCTTGCAGGGCCAAGGGGGCAGAGAGGCGTTGGAGCAGAGGGCTGAGGCAGACTCTTGAGTTTTGCCCCTGATTCCTGTGACTTTGGGTGCGCTGGGTGACGTCCCCGTGCCCCTTTTGTCCCTTCCCCTTGAAGGGGGTGGCATTGACCCAGCGGGGTCGACACTGGGAGTGGAGGGAATCCCGAGAAGCTGAAATTGGAGGTGGTGCCCTGCAGGTCGGGAGTGGAAGCAGCACCCGGTCCCCACACGCGAAGGGGCGGGCAGGGTGCCCCCCTGGAGCTGGGGTCGGGGAGAGGGGGCTGGGGGGGAGCTGAGCTGCTCAGGGTCTCGCCACGCGCCAGCGGCTGAGTGAAGGAGCCGGGTTAAACACAGCAGAGAAGGTGAAATGAAACGAGGGCGGAGGAGGTGGTTGCGTCAACACCCGCAGCTCCTGAGCTGGCAGGAGGCAGCTGGGGCCTTGCTGAGGCGGTTGTTTTCCTCCCAGGCATGGGGCAGAGGGAGCCTGGTGCGGGCCGAGCGCTCAGCACCTGCCCTCGCTCCATCCTGCAGCGGCGCAGCGGCGCGAGAGCGCAGCGCCGGGCGGCTGGGCGGGCAGGCTGCTGCCTGGGGGCGGCCCACGGTGCCCTTGGGGCTGATTTTTCTCTGTTGGCCCGTGTTTTCCAGAAAATCAAAGCGATTAAGAAAAAGCTGAGCGTCCTTTGCATAGACTTCAACAAGAACCTCAACGAGGACACCACCTACCTGCCCTTCTCGAAGGAGGAGCTCGGTACGGAGCGCTCGGGCTTCTCCCTCGGCTGCTGCGGCCCTGGGGGCCTGGATTGCTCTGGGCGAGGAACGAGAGGCCTGTTGCTGTGCTGGGTCCCAGAGGTGGTATTTCTGCATCAGTCCTGTCTCCTCTTTTCTCAGGGGGGCTCCCTGAGGACTTCCTCAACTCCCTGGAGAAGACAGAGGATGGCAAGCTGAAAGTCACCTTGAAATACCCGCACTATTTCCCTCTCCTGAAGAAGTGCTACGTGCCCGAGACGAGGAGGAAGGTGGAGGAAATGTTCAACTCGAGGTGCAAAGAGGTAGGTGGGCCTTGCCGCGGGGCCGGCCGGGCGCTCGAGGGGTCTCGTCGGAGGTTTGTGCTTCCTTTCTCACCGATTAGTGTTTCGAGCCTTAGTGTCTCATCTCGAGCCTTAATGTGTTGTTCCTTCATGTCCCGAGCCTTAAAGTCTTGAGCCTTAGTGTCTCAATGACCAATGTCTTGTCCCTTAAAGTCTTGAGTCTCACTGGCTCATCCCTTAAGGTCCAAGCCTTGCTGTCATGAGCCTTAATAGCTCATTCCTTAATATCCCGAGCCATAATGTCTTGATCCTTAGTGTCTCATCTCAAGCCTTAATAGCTCATTCCTTGATGTCCCGAGCCTTAATTTCTCGAGCCGTAGTGTCTCAAGCCGTAACGTCTCGTCCCTTAAAGTCCTGAGTCCCACTGGCTCATCCCTTGGTCTGGCTCTGCCTTGCAGGAGAATTGCTTGATCCTCAAGGAGCTGGTGGACTTGCGTGCTCAGAAGGCCGGCCTGCTGGGCTTCCACACCCACGCCGACTTCGTGCTGGAGATGAACATGGCGAAGAGCAGCAAGACGGTGGCCACCTTCCTGGGTACGGCGCTGGGCCGTGGCCGGGGGGGGGAAGAGCAGGGGCGAGCGCTGGGCTGCTCTCAGCCCCCGGAGCCCTGACCCTGCCTGCCTTGGGTGTTCTTAGACGAGCTGGCCCAGAAGCTGAAGCCCCTCGGGGAGAAGGAGCGGGCTGTGATCCTGGACCTGAAGAAGAAAGAGTGCGAGAAGCGCGGCCTGGAGTTCGACAACCGCATCAACGCCTGGGACATGCGCTACTACATGAACCAGGTGGAGGAGACCAAGTACAGCGTGGACCAGAACCTGCTGAAGGAGTACTTCCCCATGCAGGTGGTCACCGCAGGCCTGCTGGCCATTTACCAGGAGCTGCTGGGGCTCACCTTCCAGCTGGAGGAGAAGGCTCAGGTCTGGCATGAGGACGTGCAGCTCTACACGGTGAAGGACACCTCCTCCGGCGAGACCATCGGCAAATTCTACCTGGACCTGTACCCGCGGTGAGGCCTTGGGCGAGGGAGGAGGAGGCGGGCAAGGGGAGGGGGGGGC